CGGCTGCCCTACTAGATTCTTGTATTGTTGCGTGGACAGCGGTGTTCAAACACCGACAGTCTGTCTTTATCCTGTTTTCTTAATGGCCAAGTTTCTGCGCCACATAACTGAACTGGCCAAACTGCCGCAGCATACACTCGATCCTTCACAGACAGCCGGATGTCATGACGGCGCCACAGATGTCTCAATTCGGCAAATGCCAACCGAGGCTTCTGTATGCGAGCTGACAATTCATCCGTGATGCGTCCATCGAGTGAGATGTAACCGCCCAAGTGACAAAACTTATCCACTCGCTGTATTACTTTCCCGAGGGACCTCACTCTCAGATAGAAGAGCGGTTTTGGCTTGATCGTTGCTCATTAATTCACAGAGGTGCACAAACCACGTCGTGCTGCATTGTCTTCTTTCAGTAATACGAATATTTTCACCGTTACGTTTTATTTAATATATCATCTCATCTAACTATTATTTCGAAACTCTTAATCATTTTTAGTGCGGACTTTGAATTAGGAAAGCGAATAAAGTTTTCGATAGTGTGTTTCACAAAGTGAACATCTAAGATATTATGTGTCTTTCTGTTAGTTTTCCAGATTCGTCGAGGCTACATTGAGGGAAACAGGGCAATTTGGTTCGTCAATCGAAATGATACATCAAAACGACTTCCTTCTTCCTCACAAAAATATGCGCTGGAGTGAAATAAAAAGAAAAATTCTATCTGTGATCGAGAGTCCATGTAGCACTCTTGAATTAACTTCACACCTCGACTATATAGAGCATTTGGTGCATTTGGGTCAACCAACTGGCCGCCTCTTCGATTTGCTGCCTCTCAGAATGACATTCATTGGATTGGGAAATTTTATTCACTTTCTGAAACCGAAGGAACAGAAGTGGCTTCGGGATATCCTGTTTCCTTTTATCTTCCGATGCGCCATGAATATTGAAAAATTTAATACAGAAACCCTTCCTTATTGTTTTCGATATCAAGGTAAGCTCTATTCATCCTAAAACGGTATTCCTACAGAATATAATGTCTCCATCCCGTTTGATTTGGCGGTTTCTATTGTGGCTTGTTCATTCATGTGTCTGTTACCCACGCATCCCACTTGGAGTCTCTTGATGAATGAAGCCAATTTTACATATTTCTTTGCTAGCATAACCGACGCGTAAGTTGTTTTTTTTTAAAGCTCATCATTCATCCGATGTAGAACTTGCCCTCAGGCACAGAAACTTCGTCGATTATTTGCTTACTTTGAGCATTGTCGGCTTGCTGAATGCGCCTCGTCAATCCTGTCCACCCGTGCACTACGTATTACGCGGCGAGTGTTACCGGTTACACCACCACCTCCGGTTGTTTCGTCACAAAATTTCGAATGCATGAGGCTGTGTGGGAATGGTGGAAAACGCGAATTAGTCCGGGCAATGAGCTCAGTCTCGTTACCTTATATGTTGGTAGATGCCTATCGCTCGGTCGAGGCGGTTGCCCATCGATTACAAATACCTATGGTGAGTTTTATTCACCACAATATTGAGCAAAATGCATAGGTACGGAAATGTGTGGGGTCGTGTGACCAAAGCAGGCTTAAAAACCACATATTCATATGATGTTTCAATGCAAAAATATCATTTTTTTGTTTTGCTTTGCTAAACCTAAACCTGTTCCGTATTATCTAAATTGTGGTTCTGGGTGCATTCTTTTTACTTATGGTTGTAATTCCCATTGGTTCTTTTGCCGAATTTTGTCAATTACGCGAATCAAGTCTTTGAAATCTGTATGTAATAGGAAATATGGTTGGAAGGTAATTTCAAAACTCGAGTATTTTGTGTGCAATCTTCATCCGATCTAGGCTTGACTTTCGCTTCCTAGCCGTTTTACTGAACTCAGCGCTAATTATTATACCGTCTTTAAAAAGGAAATTTAGTTTCGTGAGAGAGAGCACCCCATTTTAGATAGATTGGCGGATGTTTCGCCTGAAGTCATTTGATAATGGAGCTATTCACGAGTTCTTCTGTGACAGCTAACTGAATGTTGTAACAATACATGTGTAGAACAGTAAGATTTGAGATGTTTTCAAGCAGTATGATCACAAACTATATTTGGTACGGCTTCTTTTGAGTGTTGATATGTTAATATCTGGTATTGTACTTTGCACCTGTTCGAGGCGTCTTCTCACAGGCAGAAGCACTTGATTACAAAGCAGCGCTGGAAACTTGAATTTGGTGTTCCGTTAGTCCTGTCACATGTAACCACCAATTGTTCACTGAAGTATACCTTCGCTTGCACTCCCTCTCAGACCCATTTCGTCAACGCCTATGTTGGTGGCAATGTGCTTCGTTCTGACGGACCGACGGACGATTCTTTGTTCATGCGATATCCTGACCTGTTAACTTGTCTACCGCTGTGTCACAGGCTAGAAGATGCCGAAGCCTTGTGGATAGACCACTTTCGCGGCCCGTTTGTCGAAAACGAGGATCTGCCGTCAGATGATGTGGTTTTCAACCCAGACAAACTCAAATGGCGTAGACTTGTATGCATGAATACAAGTTGTTTTCCGAATTGGGCTGCCGAACTGCAGTACTCTGATGCATACTTGATCAATGAGATCACAAAAGCCTGTGCTGCATTCTTCGGCGTCTCTCAGTCCACCGTGATGGCGGTACGTTGCCTGTTTTTTCTCTCGAAATTGATCGTTTATCACAACCCTTCCCGCGGGCATTCGAATTTATTATCTGCTCATTATCAAAGACCCAGACCCTGCACCCCGGAGTGTCTACAAAATTATTTGTTATTCGGTTCGTTTTATTTTGCCCACCAGGGTGTGGTAAACAGGATCAAATTTCATAGTCTCGAGAACATTCTGTTGATTTATAGGGACCAGCAATCTAACTTCTGGAACTTGAAGTGGCGATACCCTTAGTATTAGTATTCCTACTAGTGGTACCAATCTGGTCGACAGCGGAGTTGCCTACTACCGGACATATCTGGTAATTGCATTGATACGCGCATTGACACATGCTTGAACTCGGCTGATCGTTGTGACTGGGGCATGCTTTATGCATGTCCTCGGGTAAGCCTCCTCAGAGTACAGTGCTGACTGAGACAGGAGGTGGAAGGACACCGAGGGTGGCCCGATGATATGAAAACCCTGATCAGGGGACTTCGTCATATTTATATCGCGCTGGACTTCCAGTTGCAGATTTCTTGACCAATCTAGTTTGAAACAGAATGATATAATAAAGTTTTGGGTCGTACTCCGTTTCTGCACACCTGGTTTTTTCATAACTATTGGTATCTTCATCTTGAAACCGGTCTCAGCTGATCCTTTAGTTTTAATCCTTCCTTCATTGGTCGACCAAATGGATATCTGAAAAGTAGCTGCCATCAACACGAACTCTTAGACATACCATACGAAGTATTTTGCAAGCTTAAACTGGCTAAAACTGGCTTTCTTCTGACCTTACTTGAGGTTTTAAAATCGCGAGATGTGCATCGTCGAAATAGTCCTACAGACCACATTTCAAATAAAACAACAAAGTGGCGACCAAGCTCGTTTTCAGTGGTTCGTATTCATGACAATACATCACAATGTATATCATTCCTTGGGAATAAGATTGTCTTGGGAAACCAAAATGAAATCACATCACAAATCAATAGAAACGATTTAATCGTGAGACCAAAAATCAGATTCACCACGATCACACAGTTGTTTGTCCGCTCATTCTACCATGGAGATTACTCCACCAATCGTTTTTGGGCACATAGAGTGCGGTTGTGCACACGAATTGACACCGTTTCTGCTGTGGTTAGCATCTGACAACGAACCTGCCTCGGTAGCCGCCCACGAACTGTATACAGGAATCTGAAAGCCTCGGCTACGTTCACACTGTGAGTTGTTTCAGGTAGTTGCGAAACTACTGCATTGGTAAGTGACTTAATCGTTCCGGTGTTCGGTTACGCAGGGTAATGTTCACAAATCCGATCGATAATCGCCGAACCTTGCGGCCCATGAACGTTATCCCGCAGGAACGAGGAAATGAATATAAAGAGAATAAAACCACAGAGTCCTTAAATGACAAACACAAAGTTGGTTTGGACGTGAACAACACACGAAGCTTGAACGCATAGCAAGTTGTATCGATTGGGTCGGATAATGTTCTTAGTATGATCTCAGTTGATGTGTCCCTCTTGAACGGTAATGAAATGTACCCGAACTCTCTCAAACTCGCTGTTTTGTAAAGTGTTCTTCGTGCACTGGATCATTTTGGTGACTAAGCGTTTCGAGTACAATGATCGATTTTATAGCACGGAGCTATTCTTCTAGCGTGTCCTCATTGCACTTGNATCTATCGACAGAACGATTGTGTGACCTTGAGCTCTCTGCTGGGACCGCCTTTCGAGGACTTATTCATGACAAAACTTGAAAACACCCAATTAAAGTTATCGATTGAAGACTGTATATTCTACACAGTACGCAGTTGATATTTTTTGTGTGATCAATGCAACATGGACCACAACGGAACTATCGAGCAGATTCAACACCGCGCATCCCAATGTAACACTTACTTCAGAAGTGGAGAGTAACAGTAAATTGTCGTTTCTAGATTTCTGCATCACCCGTTGATCAGATGGTGTAATTTTCGGTGCGTAGAAAGGTAACTTGGAAAGGTCAATACATCTATATCTGATGTTATATCTTGCCGCTTAGGGTAAAAAGGAACCTGGTTCGTTGCCTAGCGGACAGGGCAAGAT